ACGGCGGCGGCAGCTCCAAACGGCGGCAGCAGCTCCACTTCCGTGTTTGGAGCTGCCTCTGCCGTTTGGAGCCGCCACCGCCATTTGGAGTGCCGCTGTCACGTTTGGAGCTGCCGCTTCCGTGTTTGGAGCTGCCGCCGTGTTTGGAGTGGCGGTGGTGCTCCAAACAGCGGCAGTGCTCCAAATGCGGAAGCGGCAGCTTCAAACGGCGGCGGTGGCTCCAAATGGCAGAGGCAGCTCCAAACGGCAGAGGCAGCTCCAAATGGCGGTGGCAGCTCCAACAGCACTCCAAACGGCAGCGGAATGGGCAGAAGGGAAAGCAACAGCGGCAGGTTGCAAAGGTCTTGGGTCTGCAGCAAAGATGTTTGGTGGGAGTAGGGAGCTCTCTGCGCTTCACCATGATCGCCCGTTAGGAGCGGCTGGTGGCGAGGCTGCCCGCGGGGCGCTCTAGATGAGGATGAAAGGGGGGAAATTAAGTTACCCCCGAAAAGACGGCCTAGCCGTTTTTTCGGGGCTCAAAAAAAAATAAGGCCCGGCCTTATTATGTGAGAAACACGGTATTAAGTAAAGTTTACAATACCTGTAGTTTCTTCCAATGTTACAAGCAAAAACACAAGCAGCAGTTCAGGAGCTCATAAATCAGTTTCTGTTTCACTTTAGAGCAGAGAGTACAGAGCTAAACCACGCTCAGACTCTCTAAGTTTCAGCCCCCAATTGAGCTCCCATTGGCTGACCTTGTTAACTGTGTCTCTGGCAGTTCATGAATATTCTGACATGTTCACGTCAGCTATAGCAGCTGTCCCCAACCTTTTCAACTCTGTGGACTAGCAGTGACTGCGGGGAGAGGGGATTGTTTCGTGTGTGCACACATCGCTTGTGCAGCCTCGTTCCCAAAGGGCCGCAGACCTGTGCCAGTCTGTGGACCAGCAGTTGGGGGCTCCTGAGCTATATAGCAGATGAACACTGAACCTGAACACTTTTAATAATGGGGCACGGTGGTGATTAATTATGCAACTAAGGATAGCTTAATTTAGCACAAAGCTAAAAATGGACTTGATTTCTATTGGTGCAAACAAGAGCAAGAACACACTGATTTGATTTGCCTATTGTAGTCAAAGAAGTAAAGGGACATCATTCAGTAACCTTGCTAAAACCAATACTAGACAGTTCCATGATAGAAAGAAATAAAAGTACTATTAATCTTATGCCATGTACTATACATCTAAACAAGTATTAACTACTAAGGAAAACATTTCAAATTTGATATATATATACGATATATATCGCTGGAAACATTTGAATGGCACTGTTGAGTTGTCAAAATGCCAACTTGGTGCTCTTCCAGTTTGGCCAGAACAGATGTTCTACGTTTGGGGCAGGGTGTGTTTCAAATTCAAAATGTTTGTTATGTCACAAACTATAGACTATAATCTTTATAACCAAACTTGATATAAAAGATGAAGATTGTTAATACTAGTTGCACTTTTCATTTCAAAGCTAGACAATTTTGTAAAATATTGTGATTTGTATGGTACATAACCTAGAAAGCTTGAAAAACAGACTATATAAATATTATCAAGCTTATTAAAGCGATCTTGTCAGATTAGGCTAAGGGATGCAACATACCAAATTTCTTGTTTGAAAGAAACAAAACTGAGTCCAATTATAGGATGATAAAGACTTGAGAGACTTCTAGGTTAACATACTGTGCTTGTTGTAATCTTTCATGTATCCTCTGAGCTGTCTAGAGTTGACTGAGTGCTGCAGTGTTCTAGAGAATAGATAGAATTCTTCAGGACCCTGTTTCCTTTAAAACAGACAGGCGTCTTTATTCAAATCCTGTCTGAAAGGCAGGAAGAATTCTCATTTTCTTTATTATGTCACTAATTTACTATATTGAAACAGATTTTTTTTACATAATTTCAGAAACACCTCAAAATATTCAGTACTCTATCACAGGGGTCCCTGACCATGTGTGTGGGCTTGACCACGACTCACTCGGAACCATCCACCACCACCCCCGGGCCGCAAAGCTGGAAAAGTTGGATAACTCTGCTCTATCCAATATTTAAGTCAAATATTCTGCAGTAGGCAGTACTACTGTTATGATTTTATGGTCATTCTTCTTATCGAGAGAGTTAGCATTCTCTTGACGAAGAGTTAATGTCAACAGAAGGGTTTTTTCAACACTGGAGGCGTTGGAAAGTCACGCTGTTTCTGAAGATAGTTCATGAAGTTTTTCGGGAGATATTTCTTGTTGCTTCTCAGTTGAAAATACTATACTCAGAACAAAAAAAAATAGTGCCTATGTGGCAATAATAATGGTTGTGTAAATGGCAATAAAAACAAAAAAAGGTCCTACCTTGGAATGTATTTGATGTTAATACATGACCTTATTCAGATTCCCATCCCCCCAAAGATGCCCTTTCCAGACCAAAGTATTATATATTGTTTATTTTACATAGGAAGGCAAAAGTTTAATTTTAAAATGATGCCTAAGGCATGATAGCACTTAGCACTAGCACTTAGACTTATATATCACTTCACAGTGCTTTACAGCCCTCTCTAAGCCAATGGTGTCAAACTCAAGGCCCATGGGATGCTTAGATCTGGCCCACCAGAAACAGCAAAGGGCCACCACAGGAGCCCCCAACACAAATGATGTTGAGCTGGTCATGTTCATTCTGGCCCCTGGGGAGAAACACAACCCTGATGTCGCCTCAATGAAATCAAGTTTGATACCCCCTGCTCTAAGCGGGTTACAGAGTCAGCATATTGCCACCAACAATCTGAGTCCTCATTTTACCGACCTCAGAAGGATGGAAGGCTGAGTCAATTTTGAGCCTGGTGAGATTCAATCTGCCAAATTGCACGCAATCAGCAGAAGTAGCCTGAAGTACTGCATTCTAACCATTGCACCACCGATATAAGAAGTTAGCCTTTGGAACATCAGCACTACTAGAGGAATAATATGACAAAGAACATTTTAGAGCCTTTATTTATAATGAAAAGATTCTACAGACATATTCTCCCCTTTTCCCCCTACCATCACTGCATGCCAGGTTTCTGTCCAATAGAAAAATAAAGAGGCAGACACCTGCCTAGATGAACAAATTGCTTTACAAAATGTATAATTTACAGCAGTAAACCTATATTTACTAAAAAATAAAAACAAAGTTTAAAGAACAGATTTTAAAAGGAAACAGCTTCTTACAACTTCCAGGATAGAAGGATGATCCAAAATTAGACAAGGCATACTAACAGAATAAAACAGAGTAACTTTTTATTTTAAAAGAAAAAGCACCAGACTCTAAATATTGATGTGAAAACAGTATAGTTATAGGAATACACTCAAATGGTTCATGGGCAGGATAGCAAGCTTTCCCTTTTCTTTAAGTCTGTACCTAGGTAGTATTTATAGAGATTCAACTTGTGTTTTTTCTGCACTAATCCCTTCTTGGAAGGTAACCATTATGCAAAGCTATGTCTGATGAGCTTTAGGTGCTGCAACAATGGAAGGGGAAGCTGTTACTACTTGTCCTAGGACTCAAGCCTTAATCAAAAATCTACATTCAGAGCTATTACCTCACCCTTGTACTGTACATTCAATTCTCAAGAGCCTGTATTCTCATTGTAGCAAGAGAGAGCCAATCTACCAGAAATTTAAAATATCCTTCCTGTAAGCATGAAATTAGCTTTTAACATGGCACACTTAAAAGGCTATACAAATGCGACACGTCGTGTAAAATGCAAGAGGAGTGGTGACCAGCAGTGTGTAGTGAAAAAAAAGTCAGGTTAAGTTTAGGTTTGCTGGAGAAAAGTTAATCTTTGGCTGCCCCATACCCCATTCATCTGGTTTCAGAGGCAAAAGCTCAGTGAAGGAAGACTCTTGAGCAGCAGGAAAATTACTTTCAGCAATAAGGACGGAGGCTGGAATTCCCAAACAGACACCACTGCACAGAGTAAGAGCTCGAAATGAACCCTCCCTTTTGGCTAAACTCAAAGCACACATGCACTAAAGTTTTTCCCGATCACAATCCATAAGACAACTCCTCTGCTATCAAAGCAACAAGGGCTGAGTTCGGCTCAGGTGACCCCGACGAGTATTGGTGGCCAATCTTTGCTGGGCCAAGAACGATTGGACTGTCGAAGAATTGGACGATCGCTTTTCTGTAGCTCGTTGGTGCAGTGTTAGGCCCTGTAACAGGGGGAAAGAATTGACTTGCACTGTCAGGCATCTGGATAACAATTCTCTAATATTCTTTTGAAGTGAAGAAAATGTTAATTTTGTTAAAGGTATTTAACAGTATTTAGAACTGAATTTAGACCTGAATCAGCATGTAAACAACGTCTTAAGCCTCCTACACTGCAGAAGGGCCGATAAAATATTAAGTGTTCAAGTGGCATCTAGTATCTTAAATAGCAATAGCACTTAGACTTAGATATCGCTTCATAGTGCTTTACAGCCCTCTCTAAGCAGTTTACAGTCTCAGCAGATTGCCCCCAACAATCTGAGTCCTCACTTTACACCAAGACAAACAAACTTATCTTTCTCATAAGCTCAAATGTCCAAAATGGAAAATCATACAAGTTCCCATTGATTTTAAGATTCATCTCTCAGAATTGCCTGTTGCTTGCAAATTAACACTGTCATTTTTTTGCTCCCTTTCCCTCCCCCTCCCCCCGCTATTCATGTACTATAAAATTTACACTATTAGAAATGTTGAGAGGTTAGGAGAACTCTTGATCTTACTAAATGTCTCTTTCAAGTTAATAATATCCTGCAGGCCCCCACAGTGTCAAAAAGCTCTCTTCCTTTACATTTTTCAGCAAGAGCAAATTCTGTATTGGCCAGAAGATCACTAAAAATTCTGGGATACTAAACTGAGTATCAATGAAAACATGAGCTTCCATCTATAGCCAAGATAAACTGCTTCTATGCAGAGACCGTTTTGTGTCTGTTGCTGATACTAGATATCATTCAGGATCTTGCTGTTTCTCAAATTCAGGTCAAACTCACCATATTATACCAGGCAGTGATGATGAGTTTTTCTTCATGCTCCTGCTGTGATTTTGTCTTCTCAAAATCAGACTAATCCAGTGAGAGAAAGAGAATAGAATACAATCCCTTCAATACCAAAGAATGTCAGGGCAGCTGGGAACATTATAGATAAGCTTAAAAAATTAATCAATCCTTCAAATGTTATGAAACACTTTCCCAATGGTGTTCCCTAAACAGATGGAAACTCTTTTAACTCTCTGGTAAAACCAAGTGAGACTCACAGGATGAAGGCCACCTACATACCTCTCCTCCTTCAGCAACTGCAGAGGGATTCAATTCCATTAGATCTTCAAGTTTAAGAATATTCCCTTCAAAGCAGGGTTTTTCAAGCTTATTCTTTAATCAGTTAAAAAACATTTCCCCAAATCCCTGATCAAAAGGAAAATGATAGAAAACTGACTGCATCCAAATGAATTTCTTTTCCCCCTTAGCCTCTCATGGAACCCTTAAATTTTTGCAGAGGCTTAGGGATCCAAAGGAAGATAAGTTTGAAAAACCCTGCTTTAAAGCACAACCGTGGCCTTCAGTTTCGGTAGTTACTTTCTCTCACAATATTCTACCAAGCCTAATTCAGGAAGGGGAGAAAAGGAAAGAAAAATGATTCCTCCATGTCAGAAAAATGCTGAAGATGATTGGGAAAGACTATACCAAGGCAACAGAAGGATGGCTATAATGCAAAGTGGGCTTCTGAAAACAGCAGGATGGGGAGGACAAAAAAAAAAACACCCATGAGAAACAGAAAAAAACAAAAGAACCAGCAAAGCAGACTGAGAAGGGATTATACGCTCCACATGCGCTGTTGATCACAAGTGTGTTTTTTGGGGGAAAGCAGTCCCAACATTTGTGATTGGAGATTGCCTCAAAGAATGTGGGCTATTCAGAATGCTTTCCAAAAATCCCATCAATCAAAAACTCTGATCAACCTACATTTATTCCTGAGCACAACTGAATTTGAGAAAATGAATAGTCACAGTAAAAAAACAACACCCTGATTTACTAACAGAATGTTAGCAGAGCTTTCAACAGATCCTTGCCTGCATTTTAAAAAGTCTTCATCAGAATGGTTTGATCATTCCAGACAGTGCTATTTGGCCTGGCCCAACTAGTTTCTAAAGAAAAAGTATATATCATATATACTGATCTGTTGCTATACTAAGACATAACTGTGTAACTGTAGCTGGTATTTTAAGACCAGCTTAAATAACAGGTGAGGTGGAAAGCGCATTTCTTCAGTTTTGTTGCAGATTCCTAGTCTGCCAATTAAAAAAGAAGCCTGCAAGAAAAAGAAGTTTCACGAACTGTAAACAAGACAGAGACAGACAGAGATTTGAAAGAATAAACAGCCTGGGGAGGCATCTGCAACAGGTCTTTGCTAGTTTTATTAGTCACCGTCAGGCTCACTGCTTCAAGGAAGCAAGACTCCAAAGTTAACAGGAGTCACTCTGTGCTATACACATGCCCAGATGGAGTCAAATGGGATGGACAAAATAACTTCATGTATGGAAAATTCAAGTATTATACTGTCCATGACTACAAAGTGTATGGGTAATTATCACTATAAATTACCTCAGGAGGCCAGGGGGAAAAAAGCCATGCAATGTCTAAAATATTCAGATAATTTAAATATGCAATCTGATGCAGTTCTCTGAGCAAGACACTCTTTCCATGCAATATGAAACATGAGATTGGTAGTACTCAGTAAATCATGGCTTATTTATTCACATGTCATTCTAAGCCAAGCCTGAAAAAAATAAATAACATTTAGTGCAAACTATGAATCTAGTCAACGCATAAGGAAGGCTGCAATTATTGTCCTTAACCAGGGCTGGAAACCTGAGGCCAGAAGGCACGAGTCCTCAAGTCCTTCCTTTGTGATGTTTGAGGCCACCATTTACCACATTTCCAGTAAACTAGTTATATAGCCGGCTTCCAATTTGAAGAAAAATCAGTAAAGACTACTTCACACCACTGAACTACAGATCAGTAAGCATGATGTATCTTGAAAAAATTAAAGATTCCTCCATAACTTTCTCTCAAATTTGGGAAACAATCCCAGTAAGTCTTGGTCCCACTGATTTTATATCATCCACCACACCATCCATCCAAAAATATTTAAATGGGGCCCCAGTCAAGGAAAAGTTGCTTACCAAAGGAAGAGGACCTCACCTCTAGGTGGCTTATTTTCTTATCTTTTTCTTGCAGCTGGTTCTTCAATGCCTGAATCTCCAAGGGAACTACGTGAGGTTGTTGCTTGGGGTCTAGCTTCTTGATGACCTGTGGAAGAAGTGAAGCTGCTGCCATCATAACTAAGCCTCTGAGAACGTGGACTACTAGATACTAGAAAAGGTCAGAAACAATATACTTGATCTGAATCACCCTCATTACTAAACAGAATATTCATAAAGTTATTGGTCTGGTTCACATAAGTGCTAAATCATGATTAGCAGATATTTTTGTTTGACTTAGAGTCCTGATATACTATTACTTAACCAAGTTTTTTTTTTCTAACTCACGGATGTCCAAGATCAGAGCACCCTGAAAATAGAGCACCTTACTGCATTTTCTCACTTTTTCTCATTATCCCTAGCAATCATATAATTCTCCCTAACTCTTTAACGAGTACAAGACAAATGGAGAAATCTCATTTCCTCCTCAGAAAAATGCACATGGGTGAAAGAGATAAAAACTCTCAAGTGCCTTCAAAAAAACCCTACAGAGTTGCTTTACTGCTCTTAAGACAGTGGAGATATCACTAAGATAATGACAAAAGTAACAGGAGATAAACAAACCAAGAATTAGTCAGACAATTCATAACTACTTTGCTTAAATAAAAGACAGCCTCTTGTGACTTCAACAAATCTTGACTGAAATATATCTTGCTTTGGCAATAGAGATGAAGCCAGCAAGTCCACGGGATTTAATAAACACAGTGTTTGTTGTGTTCATATGTAGCAGTGCAAATAAAATGACCTTGCTTACTGTGCAGGCTTTATCCATGTAGCGTTTATACCGTTCCTCCATAGCTCTCATATCTTCATCTTTTTTCTTCAATGTCTGCTGAAGTTCATCAATTTTCCTGGCAGCTGTTGGAAAAGGGAAGAGACGTGATTATCTATAGTTTCCAGTTTGGAAGTTTGTGGTGAGGTAGGGAAGAAAGAAACTTTGTTCCAAATCTCAGGAATTTCAGAGTCCCTGAGTATTTCATCTGAGAATTTCATCCTGGTTACAGAGCACCTCTTCTCTTTCCATGGTCAAGAAAGATTAAGCCTATCTGTTATGCATCTAAAGCAATAAGACCAAGTTTCAATCACTTACTGTTGCTGTCTACTTTGGGTTCCAGTTCATCAAGGCATTCCTTCTTCTTCTGAAGCTCTGCATGAGCCTCATGCAACTTCTCTCTGGTCAGAAGGTGAAACAAATGGGAATTTGTTACACAACTGGTTTTGAGAATAGCAGGTCAAAGACTCTGGTTTGGAAATGTATTACAACCAATATGACTTGCTACAGGCTTTAACGGGCTGACAAATACAGTCTTCTGGGTACTACAGCAAGTCTCTTAAGCTTTACATAGAATTCTTTTTCCAACCCCACTTTAAAACACTGAATAGAATCACTTACAGGTGCTCTTCCAGTTTCTTCTTCAATAGGGAAGACTAAAGAGAAAAAAAGGAAATGAGTGTTCAGATTTGTGTTCATGCTGAGAAAGCCAGACTGGAACAATTTACCATTTTCCCGTTGCCCATGATTAGAAGGAGTAGTGCTCTACTCCAGATGTTAAAATCTATGTACTTTCATAGCATTCAGCACATAAAGTCCTGGAAACCTCTTGTATATATTCACTGCCTTTGAAAGCTTTACTTTGGCTGGATGTTGATGAGACTAGATGTAAGTACAGATTTGTGATCCAAACTAAAAAAGATAGGATGGGATGCTCCTGAATTCAATTATGTTACTGAAGACACATAATTGAAGAGTTACTGAAGAGTTCCATTCAATTTCATAGAGACCAGTTCCTCTAGGGCAGGGGTTCCCAACCTGGGGTGTTCGCACCCCCTGGGGGTGCGAGACGATATTCCAGGGGGTGCAAGAAAAGTCCAGGTAAATAATAGGATACTGGCTATATGCTGTCATTTTTATTTATTATTTATTTCAGGGGGTGCGAGGTTTGAGTGAAATTTCTTTAGGGGTGCGGGGCGAAATAAAGGTTGAGAACCACTGCTCTGGGGGTAGTACAAAAGCCAACAGACAGAATTTGTAATGTGAGTTAATATTCAACACAGAATCCTGTATGTATCTGAAACAGTTACTGACTCGGTAAGGGAAGTTGCAACTCCTCAGAGATATCTTATAATACACATAGCAATATATTGGTACCTTTTAGTTTATCAGTGTGTAAACTGGAATAATTAATTTATATTTATTGATCAACACATTTAGATTTTGTCTTTCTTTTGGAAGTCCAAGGTAGCATTTACTGCAGTCTCCTTTCATCTTCATAATGCCATGATTGTGTAGTAAGACTAGGCTGAGTTCAAAGATGTGTAAGGAGCAAACAAGCCAGATATCTTTCTAATCCCATTCCAAACTTTAAGCCACTAATAACTCTAAGCAGACCGTATAAGTGCTTGGTATGGAAACCCAAATAACTACCCCTTGTTAAGGCTCCCAAAAACCAACAACCAACCCTCTGGCAGAAGAAAAATAACAGTGCATTTTAGGAATGAAGCACAGATTGTGGGAGCAGAGAATATGTAAGTACTTACAATGGCCTAGGCAGCACAGCCAGCAAGTCAGAGAGGAGAAAGAGAGGGCTATTAGTAAAGTGGTTTGGGTATGTGGGGACCCAGGAGAAAAATATAGATCTGCCTAAGGCAGGGCTGTCAAACTCCTGGCCTGTGGGCCGGATGTGTCACGCACTGGCCACACCCATGCCCGGTTTAGCGAAGGGGAAAGTCCCGTTACGTCATGTGACGCCGCCTTGACGACGTGAGTTTGACACCCCTGGGCTAAAGGATCAGGCTGGATTTCAAGACAAGACATGGAGAAAGGACATCAAGGATATCAACATAATATCCAGGCATGTATCATTCTAGCTAAATAGCACTCTTTGTTCAATATGGCCACTTCAAACCATAGTTTAAATAACATTAACATTTTATAAGTCAGCCTTGTATATGGCAGTATATAATTAGGAGAAAAAATACTATGCCATCCATTAAAAAAAAACACACATGGAAAACACCCACTACTTTAAGATTTAGATTTCCATTTGTTCTCAGGCAACTGGCAGAGATAAAGAGGAAATACACAGTTGCCCCAAACTTATATTTAAAATTCAATCCAGAATTAGATGGTGGATTATGGGACCAACTTCTTTTTAAAGCAGCTCCACACAGCTGGTAGGTGGATGATGCCAATCCCATTAACTGCTATTTTGGTAAGGAATTCAGCACTGAAGCAGGGAGTGGGTGGGATATCAGCTTCTATGAAACTTTTCTTGAACAGCCTTCGGCAAGGCTCACTTGAGATGTTCTAAGCCCGTTTTCAGAGAAACTCACATCTTCTGCTTTGCTTCCTTGTTCTTGGAGAGTACGCTGGAGCTCGTCAACTTGCGCTTTAAGCTCAGAGATCTGTTGCTGGCTCAGCCTAGACAGAGAAATCAAGATATCACACTGAGAAAGCCCAATAATGTAAAAGCAGATTGTTCAAAACTACCTTCTTCTTTTTGCATTTTAAGTTTTTGGTTCTGTGCTCACTTTCCCAGAAAGAAGCTGCCTTGCATACCTCAGGCTTTATTTCTAACTATGACTATATTTCCAAAGGCAATATATCTTTTATCAAATTCAGACGAAATCTTCACACATTATGCAAAGCCATGGCTCGCTTAATTATTAATTAATAATTAATATTAATAATTAATCAATATTAATATTAATTAATAATTAATAAGGGGCATGCATAAGCACACCAACGTGCCTACCATCCCTGTCCTATTGTTTCTTATATGTATCCATGTATTCATAACTATGTTTTTACTTATACCTATTATCTTGTAAGCAGTTGACAAACCAAATAAAATAAATAAAAAATAAATAAATACCGTATTTGCCGGCGTATAAGACGACTGGGCGTATAAGACGAGCCCCCAACATTTCCACTCAAAATATAGAGTTTGTTATATACTCGCCGTATAAGACGACCCCCCCACTTGGAGGCATGTTTTTCAGGGCAAAAAAGTCATACGCCGGCAAATACGGTTAAGTTGTAACACTTGGGGTATTCTGGATATAATTCTTGATTGACACCCCCGCCCCTTTCCCCCAAACTTACAAAGCCACCAAAATGCTTTAGAGAGGCAGCTTCGCCTTTCTCAGGCTGGCACTCAATTCCTCTCCCTTTCTTTGTGACACCGTTGAGCGATCTGCTTTTTTCAGGGGAAAATAAATAAATAAAAATAAAACTGGACGAAAAACAGTCGAGTTGTTTCTTAATATCTTTCCACCTCCCCAACCAATTTGTCTCCAAGGGTGCACCACACTGATTGCGACATTAATTATTTCAGAGAGAGAGGGTGGGGGGGGGAGAAATCTTTGCTTCCTACTGTGGCTTTTTCCTGCGCATCGTTTTTTCCCTTGGCTTTGTGGTTGTTACTTCTTACAGGGAGGGATAATGAAATAACCACGCTGGGAGAAAGCGGAAAGGATGTCTATTTTCCTGCTCACTAACTTTCCAGAAAGCGTCGAGTTCCTACCCCGAGGCTTGCCAAAAGTCCAGTTCATTCATTTGCTACCTTTCTCCAATGAGATCCAGATCTGTTTCCACAACGCGCTTAGGATCTTATCTTATTATCTTATTATTATCTTATTAGCCTTGCTCGGTCCGTCCAAGAGAGAAGAAGGCAGACGGTTTTGCACTCAGGGAGAAAGGAAAAGAGCCTCTCGCTCACGCTGCACACTGCCCCCCC